GAGGTTCCAATGGTGTGACTGCATTCTGTGACAAGAAAGTTATATACGCACTCGGAGGCGAAATACAAGAGTAGCTCGAGTCAAACTGACTACATTCTGTGATACAATTGTTTTTATATGCGCTCTGAAGTGGAATTCCAGAGTAGCTTATGCCACATGAGATGCTAGGATTAGGAGGATTTTTTGAATGAATTGCGGAATACTGGGAACTCGTATTAAAACGTACAGGCCGGTCTGCTACAGAACAGACAAGGCAGAGAGACACATGGGAGGGGAGCTGTATCGATGACATTGAGACACATCGGGAGGAACTATATAACTACTGGATAAAATGTGACAAAAATGAAAACGATGTAAAAATCACAGAAATAGCAAGACAGGACTCATACCTTCTCGCAGACAGACAGAGATTGTGGAATGAGGAAAAATTCGGAAAGGAAACGGGCCAGAAACCATCTCTAATAGATGAGGTAAAATGCCCTCACACCCTCGTAAGGGAGAAGGAATCGGTGCTCGCGACACCAGCGAAACTCACAGACGTTAATTCACAGAACAAATATGAAGGTAGCAGTACACTTCATTCTTGGGTACGTGGACGTAGTCCAGGAAAAGACTACACAAAAAATATGGTTATCGATCAAAGTAATTTTGACAAAGAAACCCCTCGCAACCCGAGAGAAGGGATGGAGGTGAGTACTTTGTGCTATACAGTCGATAAATACTGATATAGAGTCAGCATATACTACTGTAGTGATAGCAGGTACCACCAGTCGGTATGCACTGCTGTAATCATAGCAGGTACCACCACAGTCAGTATGCACTGCTGTAATCATAGCAGGTACCACCAGAGTATGCACTACTGCAGTGAAAGCAGGTACCACTACAGTATGCACTGCTGTAATCATAGCAGGTACCACCACAGTTACTTCGCACTGCTGTTAGATTTTTAAGAATAGTTTTGAAATATTTTTAAGACCCGGGCAACGCCGGGTACTTCCCGCTAGTATTTATTTTAAAAACATGTACTATTCTAAAATATTTAGAGCTATGTACCAACACTACCTACCTCCTTCTACACAACATAGATGCTATACAATAGCTACGACTAAATACATCAAGCCTACATCGCCTGGTAAGGAATAAAAAGCATGCAAATCCAAGCACTCGCGTTAAAATAATTATATATGTACACACACTATTAATACCCACTTCAAGGACTACAAACAATTACTTCGTTCATTTGTGGCAATTTATTCACATTCCTACAACAATTACACATTCAACTATCATTTACATTACAATCTCTATATAGCATCCACTCACACTCACTATTTACTCTTTTCTATTAATATTATCCCCTCCACCTATAATGTTCATCGCGGAAAATGTGCCATTTGTATAAGTGCTGCAATGGCTGCACCTAGAGCTAATGAAACTCCTGAACACAATGTTAGACAGCATGCTGCCTGTGCTGCACCTACAGCTAATGAATCTCCTGAACACTAAGAAGAGCATGTTGCCAGGGCTGCGATGGCTGTACCTATTGATAATGACACTCCTGAACACTAAGACGCAAGACGACATGCTGCCAGTGCTGCGATGGCTGCACCTACAGCTAAAAAAATTCCTGGAAAGAAAGCAGGACGGCATGATGCCAGTGCTGCGATGGCTGCACCTTCAGCTTATAAAACTCCAGTACAGCAAGAAGTAGGACGGCATGCTGTCAATGCTGCTATGCCTGCACATACAGCGAATGCAACTGCTCAACAGCAAAGGAGCTACATAGAAAACCAACAGCACAAATGGCTGCTGCCACAGCTAATCAAACTCCAGTCCACCAACAAGCAAGGCAGCTTGCAAACAGCACGACAATGGCTACAACCAGGTGCCTTCACTGCAGCCAAAAGGAAAAGTCTTTCTTTTCCACATTCCTCACTTCATTTACACTTCTGATTCATTAGTTGCCATTGGTTCCATGTCTACTTCTTGCAGCTATTGCCATGCAATGACATGGAAAGGAGACTCTCCAGGGCTATGCTGCAACTGTACCATGGTTCAGCTTCCTACAATTAATGACCATCCCGAGCCTATTCATGTATTGATACCTGCCAACACAACCTAAGCAAACCAATTCCGAAACAACAGAAGATACAACTCGTGCTTCCAAATTACATGTTTTGGCACCAACCAACTCATCCCGACATCTGGCTACTTCCCACATTTAAAGTGCTGGGCCAGGTATATAATCGCATTGGCAGTCTGCTGCCACTACCTAATGACCAACCTACATTACCACAGATCTACTTGCATGTCTGACAGTTCTAGACAGGCTCATCAGCATTGCAAAAATACATCAACACCAAGATGCAAGTCCTATTGCTGTGGCAAAACATGCTCCATAAGGAACACTCTCATGTTCACACTCTTATGTTCACAGTTTCAAGTGTGCCATGGAGAAGATGACTTCAGAGGACAGTCATACCTCGGTATGCGACCGCTTTGGAATACGTCGAATATGGTATACATCGTGTTTTGACGAGAAAAACATGTCTTGGGATACGACGTTTTGCTTGGGATACAACGCGCTTGCTAGAACTTGTATGGGTCGGGATGAGTTACCGCGTACCCGCGTATCCCCGTTCACGATCGAAACAAAGCGCCGCTCCTCAGTCAACGAGCCGTAACAGTATCGTGTGGAATGACCAGACAATGTCACATTTCAGGAACATTCTTAGAAGGCAAAAACAAACTTCAATGGACAGGTTTTTAGTAAAACTCTAACCTGGTGAGCCTCAACCAGGTCCAAGTCAATAAAAAAGACAGAAAAGAGAAAAAAACCCCAGAATTTCAACTTCCTGAAGTTTTAATGGAAGGGGACTCTCCTTCCAAAAAATAACATCTCCTCCTCCCCTTCATCACCACCATCCTCGTAGGCTATCAACTCCTCTCAGCAAGGTAAAGTGTCGTGAAATTTAATTTTTATTTCAATTTATTTATGCATTTATTTTAAAGTCTTTATGCATTTATTTTAATTTATGTATGCATTTTAGTAATAAGTAGTGTTTAAATTATTTTATACAACCCCTTTAATGTATAATATGCCATATAAAATATCATTTCTTATACTCTGAAACGGATTATTTCCTTTCCCTTTATTTCTTATGGGAAAAATCGTTTGGTTTCCGTCATTTTCGGTATAAGTCCTAACTTCTGGAACGAATTAACGACGGATACCGAGGTACCACTGAACAAAGTTGTCATTCATGGCGACTAAACTTCACATGGTCAACATGGGTACCGCTTAAATCGCCTTGCAACTGAGGAACAATACCCTACACAGAAATGAAACACCGATCCTACGATGCTCTTGAATGTTGACTGATTTTCTGGCAAGGTGATGATTATGGCTACAATTTCCTACTTCGTCAAACTGCTGTCGACATGTATGCCAAAATTGAAGCTTCATTCGATTAAACCCACCAGATGGCAAAACATACAACAATGTCTATCCTTAAGCTCTCCAAGTGCAACAAATTTAAAAGCTGCCCTCATTATGAAACAAACAAGCCCTGCGGTTGTATAACACAACCAAAAAACCGTGACAATATACGCACATATTCTTGGTTCTTTCGGTAAAGTCACGTAGAAGGGAAATAATAAAATACTAAAAATATAAAACAATAAAAATTCTCACGACGTTTCGACTGCAGCACAAGCAGTGGATTTTCCTCCGGATCCTCCGGTTTTTCACTCCACATTTAGAGTCAGCATCACCACGCGTTTAGAGTATTTGACCGATATACATTTCCACACGTTCAGCCACTGTATTGTGGGCTGGTTCCTTCTGAAAAAGAGCGGGATAGCTCAAGTGGGCTATGCCTGGTGAAGTTAACAAAAACTGTATTAATATAAAAAAAAGTTTCAAAGTAGTGAGCCAAGTGAAGACGAATTAAACTTAAACAGAGAATTAAAGCAAATGCAATCAGGCGAGGGCAGGAGGCAAGGCCCCGCGTTGTAATGTTCCAACCTGGACATGGATTCCATACTCGCTGCTACTCAATTGATATCCCGACGAGAGAGAGAAGGAGCGAGGCTCTACCTGGGTAAGCATCAACAACCACAACAACCACAACAACAACGATGTCAACTTCTCACCTCGGATCTCAGTGAGCGCGCGCGCGGATAGGCAGCTTCCTGGTGTCTCGTGACGTCACGCGACAGCAGCCGGTGACATGACGTCACTAGCGGGACACATCTCCCCCTCCCGTCGATGAGGTAATGCAGTGGTGACGTCAGAGAGCAGGTTTAGAGTTTAAGTTTATATACATCTTGACTTAAAGCTGTCGTGACTGCAGGAATACATTCTATGGGTCTTTCGGTAAAGCCACAGCCTCAGGGCGCCATCCGATCTTACATTTACGGTACAGAAGCTCTCTCGCTGTTTTTTTACACCTGAAAACGATCGCTTGTGTTGCCTTCAAAACGTCGTGATATTTTTATTATTTTTCTATCTGCTTGGCTTTACCAAGAGACCCATAGAATACTACGTGTAGACACACACAATAGTGTCCACGTTGCTGTTGAGCTCACGCACCCAAGGGGTCTCTTCAAGAAAGAGGGAGAAATCTCTGACGTCACAACTTCGCATTACCTCATCGATGTGAGACGCCTGGGGGAGGTGAACCTCGCTAGTGACGTCACGTCACCAAGATATTCACCCCCACCCCCAAACCCCCCCTCCACCGCGCTTTTGAGCGTGACGTCACGTCTGGTTGGTCACTGCCGATTTCCGTTCCAGTAAAGATCCTTATTTGGGCACAGCTACGCCCAGTCACTGGTGGTTCATTAACATAATTTATTCATAAAAAACCGTCGCGAGTTCATTGCGACGGGCTCAACATCCACGCCTCATCACTGGACGTGAGTCCGTCTCATTAACATAATTTATTCAGTTTTACTGCCGATCGTTGAGGGAGGGGATTGTGTGTCAACCCCGCAAGTGACGTCATGTCACCTCGTGCAGCCGCGTGACGTCACGAGACACCAGAAAGCTGCTGCACCGCGCGCGCGCTCACTGAGATCCGAGGTGAGAAGTTGTTGTTGTGGTGGTGGTTGTTGTTGTGGTGGTGGTTGTTGTTGTTGTTGTTTACCCAGGTAGAGCCTCGCATCTTCTTTCTCTTGGAGGGATATCAATTGAGTAGCAGCGAGTATGAAATCGATGTTCAGGTTGGAACATTACAACGTGTAGTGCCTTGCCTCCTGCAATCGCCTGATTGCATTTGCTTTAATTCTCTGCTTAAGTTAAATTTGTCTTCATCTGCTTCATGGGACCTCCTTTGCCAGTATCAAAATATAAGAAGAGGTTTCCCCCTTTTTTGGCAACAAAACAGGTGTTAAGATGTTAAAACACCAAACTGAAACATTTAGCAAGGAATCATGTCTGCATTAAAAACATGCTCTGACAGTATTATGCATTGTCTGTGAAACTGGTCCCCACCAGAGGCAGCTTTCTTTCGAGCATAGTCTTAAACAATGTTAGACCAGAGGACGCCAAAAGGCGAACAGCACATAGACAATGCACTATCATAACAATGAGAGCTCGGGGTGAGCAGCTACATCATGGGACTTCCTTTGCCAGTATCAAAATATAATAGGTCTTCCCCTTGTATCATTTATAGATTTATACTATTTTTTGTCTTGGAATATTTTTTGTATACGGTTTTGCCGTGTTTATTTCAATGGTTTCGTTTATTTGGAACACAGTACTGTACTTGATTTTAAGCTTTAGTGACTGCAAGAATTACTCTTTGGTTCTTTCGGTAAAGACACATAGAAAATAAATTAAATAATAGAATACGATTCAGAATCAACGTTTTTGGGTTAGATCGCGTTATTTATAAATGTGTCGTAATCCTCCACCACCCGACACGGCCAATCAGCAAAAAGTGTCACGTTGATAAAAGACAAATAGTTCACTGCTTTAGCCCACCGGTGTGTTGAAGCATGAAACCACAACATTTAACATTTTTCAGTACGACGTTTCGCTGCTAATTGCATCCAGCATCATCGGGCAATTCGTCAGAATGGTGGATGCAATTACCAGCGAAACGTCGTACTCAAAAATTGTAAATGTTGTGGTTTCACGCTTCAACACACCGGTGGGCTAAAGCATTGAACTATTTGTCTTTTGTCAACATGACACTTTTTTCTGATTGGCCGTGTCGGGTGGTGGAGGGTTATGACACATTTATAAATAACGCGATCTAACCCAAAAACGTTGATTATGAATACTATTGGTCGCGAAAGCCTACGTGTTTAATAGAATACGATGTTTCGATTTCAACACAAGCAATCGTCATCAGGTAGAACTACATTTCAGAGAGAGACAAAACACAGACACGGATACACACAGACAGACACAAGCAGAGAGAGACAACACAGACACACAGAGAGAGACACACAACATAGACACACAGAGACCCAATGCCTCTGTGTCGTGGCCTGAAATAGAGAGGGGGGGGGGGGACAGAGAGAGAGGTGGGTCTGCTGGAGTAGAGAAATTATCATGTCAATGAGAGAGTTGTGTGGAAATCCACCCCGCGGCTGCAGGGGGAGAGAAAGACCCAGCAAGTCTGGTATATTTTAAAGAGAGTTGTGTGAAAATCCACCCCGAAGCAGCCGGGGGAGAGAAAGAGTGAATGGACCTAGAGAGAGAAATAGGCAGTTTGAGAAAACAAACTTAGCAAATTTTTGGAAATGTAATGCAATGCAACGCAGAGAGTCGGCTAACACAGTTAACGCATAGCCTGGTTGTTCTACCTGATGACGATTGCCTGTGTTGCAATCGAAACGTCGTATTATATCATTTAATTAATTTTCTTTCTACGTGACTTTACCGAAAGAACCAAAGAATAATTCCTGCAGTCACGAAAGCTCCAATGTTAAGATTGAACCACTTCTATGGGGAAGTTCCAAGTTTACCTTTTTAAATCCTTTATATTAAGTTCGCGTGCTTGCTTGCTTGCTTAGGACCGTGCAAATCTTTCGGTCGTTTTTTAACCCACTTCCCGTGATCCAATCGAGCTGACATTTTCCACACAGACTCGTTGTGCCAGACAATTATTGTTCGTGAAAAAAAATTCCCCAAATTTTACACTTTTTAGGCAAATTTTTTTTATTTTACATATATTCAAATAGAACGCATTCATGGCTTTGGCTGAACATCACAGTGCAAGAGCCCAGAGCGTAACCCCTCCACAGGCCGTGGTGGAGTAGCGCAGTTAGTAGCGCCCTCGCTTCCCATGCTAAAGGTCGCGGGATCGATCCCCGCGTCCTCCACAGGCGAATATATTTTTAAATCCTTTATATTAAGCTCACTTGCTTGCTTAGGACCGTGCAAATCTTTTGCTCGTTTTTTTAAATCCTTTATATTAAGTTCGCGTGCTTGCTTGCTTGCTTAGGACCGTGCAAATCTTTCGGTCGTTTTTTAACCCACTTCCCGTGATCCAATCGAGCTGACATTTTCCACACAGACTCGTTGTGTGTGACAATTAATTTTCGTGAAATTTTTTTTCCAAAATTTTACACTGTTTAGGGAAAACTAATTAAATATTTAATTACCAATTGCTTAATACTGGCAGACAATCATCTGACCCATAGATTGCAGCCATCTCAAGCCAGAGGACGAGAGAACTCTAGCCGCCACGCATATAAAGGATTTAGAGTGAAAAACTTTGTTTTTACGGGTTTACTTGTTTCTCTCTCTGGGTTTTTTATTCTCTCTCTCTGCCTGTTTATTTAGTGTAATTTTTTCTGTCTACACTAGTTTTTTGTCGTTCTTAGGTTCTGCTCTGTCTGTGTGTCTCTGTCCCTCTTGTTTTTATGTTTTGTCTTTCTTTGAAATTTTCATACTTAAATTCTAACTTAGCAATCTTTGAAATACGTAATCGACCAGGCTATGCGTTAATTGTGTGTTGACCGACTCTCTGTGTCGTTTTACATAACATTTCGATACTTTGCTAGGTTATTTAATTTTAGTGTGTCTCTTTCTCTCCCTAAGCCTGCTCACTTCTTTTTGTACTCATTGACATGTAAATTTTGTCTCTAACCCCTCCCTCTCTCTGCCTCCGCCCCCCCTCTGTCTATTTAAAGCCACCCCACAGAGACGATCACCCCTCTCTGTACCAGTGTTGCCCGCTCTGTGTATCTTGGTGATATCTGTCTGCTTATATGTCTGTCTATAAATTTTTATGGTTAGATTTTATGTCGCTATTTCATTATACCTGATGATGATTGCTTGTGTTGCAATCGAAACGTCGTATGCTATTATTTAATTTATTATTTTTTCTTTATACGTGACTTTACCGAAAGAACCAAAGAATAATTCCTGCAGTCATGAAAGCTCCAATGTTAAGCCTTTGGTATGTTAGCCGAATTTTGCTTTCATAACTATTCTTTTTGTTGCCAGACAGCTGAAATTGTGTTTTTGGTGTTTTGAGTTAACCTTTATTTTGAAGATACTAGGGCTTGCAGGCATATTTATAACCATTTGCCCTCTCATTGTGTGCCTTCACAGCCCATGTGATGAATTTGGGAATATCTTGAATATATGAATAAATCTAGACGTGTAAGTCATGTGTGACTGTGCATATATTCATTCCTCTGTGCCTCGATACTGACGTAGATGGTGTGGATATGTTTTTCTGTCTGCAGCTGACGCTTCTTCTGACGCTTCCTCTGCAGAATTGGTCTGATGGAGCAAAGGCACTCAGCGCAGCTCGGTACAAAAAGACAACAATGAGACCAGTATGCAAACGGAATGGATTCTACTGGAAATTTGATACAGCACCAGAGAACTCAAACAGGAGAGAAACCCTTCAGGTGCCCCTTTTGCGGGAAGGCGTTTGCAGATTCATCACATCTTAAAATACACCAGAGAACACACACGGGAGAGAAACCCTTCACGTGTAGTGTGTGTGGGAAGGCATTTTCCGATCCGTCTGCCCTTAAAAGACACCAGAGAACACACACGGGAGAGAAACCATTCAGATGCACTCTGTGCGGGAAGCCCTTTGCACTGTCATCTCATCTTAAAGAACACCAGAGAACACCCACAGGAGATAAACCTTTCAAATGCACTGTCTGAGAAGGCATTTGCATGGTCTTTAGGTCTTCAGATCCACCAGAGAATGCACACAGGAGATAAACCCTTCAAGTGCAGTGTGTGTGAGATGGCATTTTCACAGTCATCAAATCTTAAAATGCACCAGAGAACGCACACAGGAGAGAAACCCTTCAAGTGCAGTATGTGTGGGAAGGCATTTTCAAGTTAATTTTATTTTAAAATACACCAGAGAATACACACAGGAGATAAACTCTTCAAGTGCACTCTGTGCGGAAAGGCGTTTGCACAGTCACCACAGCTTCATCGACACCAGATAACATACAGGCATCATAAGATCCCCAAGGAGTGTAGTCTGAAATCGACTTGTGAAAGTCAAAGTGCTGCAATGAGCCCATCCCTCCTAAAAAAAGAACCAGAAGTGAATTCTAGTTTGGACACTATGAAATGTATCAAGGTGAAATTTGAAGAGGCGACAGTGAAGAGCAAAGAAGTGAAGGTGAAATGTGAAGATGAAGATTCAACTCGGACCTTCACTTCGATGGAGGCAACATGAAGCAGGAGGAGAATTGTGAAAGTGGAGGTGTGGGTGGACTTCTTAGATAATACAAAGTAAAATGGAGACCCTGTAGATGTATAAGCTTGAGACAATGAAGCTCCAATAGATTCACCTTTGTCACAGGCCTTTAAAGAAAATCACTAAAAGTTGAACACTCAATTCCTTGGTTCAACCTGCAGAGTAAGAGCAGTCAGTTTTTGCGGACCCGTGGGTTGGGTAGATCTCTAACTAGGATCGAGAGCCAATGAACTCCCAAGCATTCAGTATGTTATAATAATATGAATATTAGCATTTATATGGTGCTTGTGTAGGACTTGAGATAACACGCGCCACGCATTTGATTGTGATACGAACATGCAGCGAACAGTGGGGGCAACCGGGGACACGGACAGTGGGGCACGCCATAAAGTTGTTGTTGCGCCAACTAAGGGGTAAGGTAATTAAGAGATGCCACAGGTGTTAAGGGTAACTGAGGACGGATATCGGTGATTGGTCGAGAGGGTGAGTGGTTGAGACAGGCGCCGGGGTGTCTACGACAACAACATCACATGAGGCTGGCGGGAGATGACATAATTAATTGGGGCTAATTGGTTCGGGGATAAAGGCAGAGAGCGTGGCAGAGATACGGGAGTTGGTGTTGGAGTCGGAGTTGGTGTTGGAGTCGGAGTTAGAGTTGGTGCCTGGGACAGAGACGGAGCAACAGGGAGTATAGATACGGTAGCAGATAGATGCGATAGGAGTAGACAAGAGAAGATAGAGTATGGTAGCAGCGGATAAAGAGAACACAATATCGGATAGCAGCGGAGTAAGGGACCTGGATAGAGAAGCTACGGCGGAGTGAGACGGCAGGGAGATAAAGAGCGATCGAGCTGGAGAGAGAGCGAGCGGAGCCAGCGGAGGCAGCAGAGCGAGCGAACGGAGAGACATGGAGTGATGTTGATGGGGAGTTGTGCATTGGAGAGAACGGAGAGACATGGAGTGATGACGACGGAGGAGATGTGAATTATATGTGTTAATAAAAGAGACGAGAAAGACAAAGAAGCTGTCGCGTCAGTACGAGTCCTACACTTGCTTAATCGCATCAGCAACTTGGAGTTGTGTATCATATCTCATCGCAAACACTCGAAGAGCACGCCTTTTGGCGTCCTCTGGTCTAACACTGAGACCAGGCTCAAAAGAAAGCTGTCTCTTGTGTGGACCAATCAGTTTCAAAGACAATGCATATATTCTCAGAATGGTTTTTTTTTGCATTCTGACCACAAGTATTGTGGTTAATGCAGACATTATGCTTTGTAAAAGGTTTCAGTTTGTTTGGTGTTTTAACATCTCAACACGTGTTTCCAGAAAAAAGGAGAACCTCTTCTCACTCGAAGAGCATGTTGTATATATGCCATTTCCAAAATTGTATATTAGGAGTGATTTTGCCTATTTTTTTGGTAATAATTCTGATCGGGATGTAGCACTGGGGCATGGAAAGGGTGCGAGTCCCCTCCCCCGCCTCCTGCCTTGCCACGCAAAAGACAGCTGGAGGATAATTACTCACAAGCCTGTTTGAGAAGTCATGAAATGTAAAAAAACTGCCAACCCATGGGGGGTCTAATGAGATTCTACGGGAAATCCCCAGTTGACTGCAAGAGAAGGCCGCCATAAAGGAAACAACCCACAATAAAACAGACATAAGACAGAAACAGCAGGGGTCACGAACCTCCCTTGGACAGCTAAATCCACCCAAGGGCAGTTAATCATTATGAGCTGACTAGGGTTTTTTAATTAAAACAATAAAGTTCTATGCTTAGCTATATCTTCAACCTCAGGATATCAAAATATTACTTGAGAATAAGAAGCACGGATCCCTAGCGATACAGACGGGGAACAAAGTTTGATAAAACCCTCGGAATATCCTTGGTAACAAGCACGAACCAAATAATAATTATGAAAGTATTAGACCTAGAGTCATTCAGAAGATGTACAATGCAAAATATGTCAATCACAAGCTCAAGATAATATGCATTCCACGGGATCAGAGCCTCACCAACCGCCTGTGTCTTCCAGTAGCTAACAGCACATGGGAGTAGTAAATTATGTATGCAGGGGGGCGTCTCCTCCTAATATATAAAATACCACGCAAGAATTCCAAACCGTGATGTGACATCTGTGAACGCTGCTCAAAACGTACTTCGAGTCACTTGCAGAGTCAAAACTGCGGAAAGTGGTATGGTACCAAGCCATAAGAGGTGTAAAATAATATGTTTTTACTTCCGACCAGTGATGAGAGGACTGGATACATGGCGACAGCAAGCACAGCTGTGCACAATAGATCACGATTTCAAAGGCCATAGCGCCCCTTTTTGAGAGAGACTGCAAGTCTGATGCGAAAAAAATGTAACACTTCCAACCCATGATGGGAGCGTGGGGAACGCTGCCCAAAACGTGAACAGAAACATGGCGGTAGTAAACACATCCGGACAACAAACAGCCCAAGCGACTTCAAAAGGAAAACAGCTGCCCCTTTATGAGAAGAAAGAGCCTGAGGTGGAAAAATTCAGATACAGTGATACCTCGGTTCACGAACGCTTCTGTTCACGAACAGAAAAGTTCATAAAAATATGCTCCGGTTCACGAACTCCGCTTCGGTTTACGAAAAGGAGCCGCGGCCATTTTAATGCTATTTCCAGGCTGTCACATGGTCGTGACTTCCTGTAGGAAGATCGTGGAGAGAAGAAGAGACACAGAAAGAAGTACTGTGAGTACTGTGAAGACACTTTCTGTGACTTTTAGCTTTTTGGTGTGCTTTTTAGCACATACAGTACTGCACTGTACTACTGTACTGTACAATACTGTACTTACTGTATTGTACAGGTCACCCGTTTGAGTGCTTACTGAAGTCATCTCAAGCAAGGTTAGTGTTCTCTCTTTATACATTACTATACTGTACAGTACTAATGTGTATTGTAATTTGTTTCATATTTTTGTGCTTCAAAAACAAAAAAAAAGGTCAGAACGGATTAACCGGATTTACATTGAACCCTATGGGAAAATGTGCCTCGGTTCACGACCAATTCGGTTCGCGACCAGAGTCAGTTCACGAATTAAGTTCGTGAACCGAGGTATCACTGTATAAGCAAGAATGCAAGAATATAAATCAGGACTGCTCAAAGAATCGCCCAACTGCGACTGGAGAAGTCCAAACCATTAAGCACATGACCGATGAATGCTCCATCCATGCACATCCTGGCGGTATCGGTAAAATCCACACTGCATCAACCACATCATTGGACTGGATGAGGAACCATCTTCTTGGTTCTTTCGGTAAAGTCACGTCGAAGGGAAGTAATAAAATAATAAAAATAAAACATAATAAAATAATTCTCACGACGTTTCGGCCACAACGCAAGCAGCCGTCCTCAGGTGAAAACCAGGTCTGTCGAGGCGACAGCGTCTGAATGAAACACCACACCAGCTTGGAGCATATATATAAGCTGGGCGCCTTGACAAAGGAATTTGCATATCAAGAGGAATTTAGCATATTTATGGGAAATGCAGGAATGTGATTAGTACTACATATGCCTGTGTTGGGGCCGCTGGTCCCCGGAGTCCCTCCCTGCTCCGTGCCTATGGCAGGGGCTCCGCCGTGCGCCGACCCCTCGCTGCTCTGCGAGCAGCTGCTGCCGTCGCTGGGCTCATCGCCCGACGGCTCCCCTCCCTGGTCCGTCCCTCCGCGAGCTCGTGTGAGAGGCATAGCTCGCCGCACGCCCTCGTTCACCTGCAGACGCTGCGTTGTCTCTCCACGGATCACGCGCTATTAAACGGGGGTCGGGGGCGAACGACGCTGCCCTCACACTGCGCGAGTCCCGGCGGCGACAGACGGATCGGGGACCTGCGGACGCACCGACCCCTTCACCCACACTACGAGCGCACACACCTGCACACACGCGACACCCACTCGTGCGCCGCTCTACGCAGCGCTCACTCACGTGGTGAACCACAGTGTACACACGCGCACCCACACGCTCACACTGCACGACAATATCACGCGAGACCACGCTTCGCTATTAATGATTTATTATCTGATACCTGGTAATTTAATGTTAAATCAGTGAGTCGACGAGGCTGGCCTACGCTGATACCTTTATACCTATTCCCGATTTATCTGCTATGATTCTAATTCACCTACTTACTTCCTGCTGGATGCCCACGGCGGTTCGTTGATCCCGTGCTCGCAGCGCACCTCGATGCGTCTCACGGACGATCGGGTCGCTGGACTGGAGAGCGTCCTGTCGCCTGGCGCTGGAGAGAAGAGAGCTATTTTCCCTCTGCGCCCCTCTATTTATCCTCCCTACCTCAAAGGGGATGCTGCGCTAAACAATGGGCTCGCGATCCTCTGGCACGCGCACGGCGGTTCTGGGCGCTGTTGATATGCTAATCAGTGTGCTGCGTGCAAGGCGTAAATCCTACTTAATCCCTTACCCTCCCTGACAATGGGGCCTGCGCGCTCAAGCGCAATTATCCCAACCCTCCATGACTATGCGCAACAGCCCCTGTGATCCCGCTATTCCTGCTGTCCCGTGCCTCCCCTGCTTGCCCCGTCGACTCGTGGGGGTGTGTGTGGGGGGAAAATGCGCCTCAACCGCGGTGGCCGAATGCCCCACGCCGCGACCACACCATATTAAGGCCGGCCGCAGCGCCGCGGTGCCACGTAGCACGGGGGAGGTCATCCAATTCCCTGATCGCCGGAAACCGTGAGAATTAATCCCGATAAGGGTCTCTCGGATAAAAACCGGTCGGTCAGGCGACCTCCCCTCGGAGCTCTATGGGGGGGGGGGGAAATGAGTGCGGGTGTGTTCATGTGAGGTGAGGTGAGGGGGACGCGGGGTCGGCTCCGTTGCTTGGTGGTGGCGAGGTCGGGGATTTGGTGTCTGCCGAACGGCTTCGTGGCGGCGGCATCACACCTGCGCATTATGCAGGATTAGCAGCATCAAAGGGAGGGGATATGGGAAATGCAGGTATGTGAATAGTACTAATTATGCCCGTGCATTATGCAGTTTTAGCAGCATCAAAGGGAGGGGATAGGGGTAGCATTAATAAAGGAAAGGAGTGTTAATAGTATGTAGCTGCAGTAACTAAAACCAACACGTAAACAACTAAAGTATAAACTACATAGTATCATGAGTATACTAACTATACTCTACAATAAGCTGAGTTACTAACAGTAAGTAATACATTACAATTCTACGTCGTAAAAATTATATAATATGCTTCCATTTAAACTTTATTCCCTTACATCACACGAGTCTACACCGTACTATATACTGCCATAGACAAACCCAACATTAAATTATATACTGTATTGTATAAACCACCTTATACATTGTAATATTACACTATGTATTATTCTACCCACCTTAATGTATATCACACTGCTGTATATTCACTATACAATTACGATACTATATATTACTTTGTACATTGTATTAAGCATATAAATGTTATACTATTTGTTATTATACACTGTACCATTGACCGTCGTGTCAATGGGTGAGTAGTGGAGGGAAACTTGCAGCGGAGCTAAGAATCCATTCCCTGCGGAGAATACAATGCCAGTGAGTGGAACGCGGTCTGAAAGTCACCGTAAACGTGTAATTATATACTAGATTAGTAATCAGGCAATTATTACGATGTGAGTTGTAGATTATTAATCAGTTATAATGTTTTATTGTAATTATATACGTTAGTAATCAGTTAATTAGTATTTGTTTCCCCTATAAGGAATTGTAATATGTATTATTTAGTAATACGCTTCCAGGCCGCACTAAGCCTGTAGCTGTCTGAGCGGTTAAAGTTATTTCTGTTTCTCTCAATTACAATGGATTCTCTAATTAGTCTTTGCAAGTAGTAACTAGTTTTACAGAACGCTTCAACGTTATCAAAATCAATTGAGTGTCCCTGTTGGCATGTTCTGCAACTGCCGACAGTTGTGTTTGAGATAGTTTAATATTTATCTGGTGTTCTTTTAGTCTTACACTA